TGATTAAAGAAAATTCCCATTTTTTTTGCGGGTATATCGGAAAATTCCAACGCATCACATCATTCTAGACTCAATGAAGTAAGCTATGCCAAAATTTCGTGCAAATCGAAAGATATATACCGATTTTGGTGCACAATTTACATTAAATCGGACGAAAATATATATGGGAGCTATATCTAAAACTGAGCCGATTTCCACGAAACTTAACACACATCACTCTAAACTTCATTCAGTACGCTATGTCAAATTCCGTTCAAATCGAAAGTTATATAGGGACTTTGGTGCACCATTTACTTAATATCGGACGAAAATATATATGGAAGCAATATCGAAATCTGACACGATATTCCCGAAACTTACTACTCGTCATTCTAGACTCAATTCATTACGCTATGTCAAATTTTGTACAAATCGAAGGATATATAGGGACTTTGGTGCATTATTTACCTAAAATCGAACGAATATATATATGGGAGCTATATCTAAATCTGAACCGATTTTCAAAATTAAACACACATCGTTCTAGACCTTATTCAGTACGCTATGCCAATTTTCGAGCAAATCGAAGGATATATAATGACTTTGGTGCACTATTTACATTAAATCGGACCAAAATATATATGGGAGCTATATCCAAATCTCACGAAACTTAACACACATCACTCTAGACTTAATTTAACCAAGGGTTATGGTCTACACCAGCCAGACAAACACACAGAGTGGCGGACGGACATTTGTAAATCGACTCTAAATTGTCTGAAACTGATTTGGTCAAAGGAAAAATGGGTTCTATAACTAATATTTCGATGAGGCACAAAGCAAAGTGTATATATCGTCATTAGCCATAAGGATGAGGGTATAAAAACATATATGTAGAGCAACTAGAATAATACTAACCCATCAAAATCAGAACCGGAACAACATGTTCATTTTCATGGCGATTGATCCATAAAAGCGGCATGTAATTTAATTGGATGCTTTAATGTATAAATCGACCCAGCTTACTGAGATATTGCCATCGGTATACGAAAAATTGAAACGGTCTAGGACCTTGGACTCTAGGAGTCACACAAACTTATAAATAATACAAAACATAGTTGTGTAGAGTTACAAGTCAAATTCAAACTTTTGGTCATGAAAATTATATGAAATCAATCAAGATCGTATGATGTTGTTATCCTCTGAGGGAATAAAATACCAAATTACAGTCATTTCATTGGGTTTGAATGAAACTCTGTATATGCTGTGCAAATTTTTTTAAATCTGAGCGGATTTTTTACGGTATATAACTGGGAAACGTTTTCGTGGCTGAACCATACGATTTAGAATGTACCATTGTTTTCCCCGAATTTACTGGTAATTCTATATAACGGAACCTGATGTCACGCAGACAAATCTCTATTAAATTGACTTATATATTTTTTCGAAATCGAATGTGGTGGTTCTATAGATGACCCATGGCGATATGCAACCGATTTATTTTAAAACAAACGATTATTATAAATAATATTTATAATATATATATAATATTTAGGTATATTTCATTAAAATATTTTGTTTATTATTTTAAAACAATTATTTCTTATACTAATTTTACTAAATTTATTTCAATTTCTATTTTTTGTCCCCTTCACCACCACCTCTGTCTTTTTGTACATCCACATACAAATTTTGGTTTTTTTGTGGCAACCCACCGCCTGTCCACAATTCCATAATACACCACATTTCCCCAATAAAAACAATAACAATAATCCAATAACAAACACCACCAACAAAAGCAAACAGATTTTTCCTAATTTAACCACCAGACTACAACATACTAACAATCAAATAATCCTAAAATCCCTTTACCAGCCCCTTATAGAACAATCAACAGCCTCGAGGAATCCAAATCCAATTCTACGAACATTGTCGGTACAACGACCCAAACGTAAAGGATTTGTCAGCTTTAAATTACCGGCAGCAGAAGAAAATCGCCGTAAAAAACAATCGACAGCGAATGGCAACCATTTACCGTCGCCAACGGAAGCATTGGAACCTACGGTGGTGGAAATCGCCGATGTACCTGTACAAGGTTTTGTGGCCAAACGAACAAATTCTCAAATACCCATTGCTCCGGCATTTATCGATGACAGCCATCGTCAGTTCTCAAATCCCATTAGTTATTTGGGTGGACCGCTAATGAGGCCACGTAATCGAAGTAGTATAGATTCTATATTATCTTTAGATTAGTATTGAAATTTAAAACCACAACAACAACAAGTTTAGTCAACAGTATTGAATATGATTAATACTACTACTGTTATTATCGGCTGTTTACTTAATTGACATTCCTTTAAATAATCATAACACCAAAACAAACTCGCAACTTATTATTTATGTATGTAGTTAATTTAGAATTTAATGTATTTAAGTTTGTTTTAGATAGGATTTAGAAATCAAAATGTATATAGTAAAAAAATAACAAAAACCAATAAATAAAGAAAAATGTTAACCAATTGGATATATAATACCGTCACAAATATTTATTTGGATTTATTTATTAAATTGAAAATCAAGGTTTGTATTGAATTAAGGGGACCCCACCCACCACAATCACGGTTTGTATTGAATTAAGGGGACCCCACCCACCACCACTCGGTTTCAAAAAAATTAATTTTTTATTTTGACTTAATTTGAACCTACACTAATTCAAGAATGTCCCTATAAATTTTCAAGTGAAAATCTCAGCAATTTTTGAAGATAGAACCGATTTATTGTGTTAGCATCAGGTGACAGCAAGACAGCGTTTTTACGAATGGCGGGCACGATAACTCAAATCCTGATAATCCAATTGATTTCAAATTTTGGGACATTTGTCTTTGAGTGTATAGCTATCGTATGAACTAGGATAAAGCCAATCGGTGAAGATCTTCCTTATTTTTTAACTTAGTTTGTGGTCAAAAATAGGCGATTTTTCAAAAAAAAAAAAATTACAAATTTCCACCTTTTTGTTAATTGTTGTGCGAAGTCAATAATCCTAGTTCATAAGAGAGCCAGACATGTACTCTTTCTAACACCGTTAAAATTTGCGGATTCCGATGTTCCAGTGAGGAGTTATCATGCCCGCCATAAAAAATAAGGACATTTCTTTGATCACAAAAAAACAACAACAACAAAATGTTTGTAAATTATTTTTCTTCCTTTTTAAATCTTCAAATAAATATGTGCAAAGTTACAATCCTTAACATGCATTGGTATTCATTTCGCAGCTCATTTAAAATCTTAAAAATAAAAAATTGACAATGGGTTGGGGTTCCCTTAATTTAAAAAAAGATGTTCTTAGCAAAAGAGGAGAAATTGAGGGAAAATGTTTAAAAATTCCTTTGATTCTTCTATATGCATATAGACAATTTTTTGAAGATATTATATAGGCCTACTATAAATATACGAACTTATGCAGCTTTATTAAATAGAGGAACAGCCAACAAACTACAGAAGCCCAAATAAAGATGTTATGGATGTTCTACTTTAGATCACGTAGATGTAGAAAACCTAATGAAGGTGTCCTGACTATTGAGTGAATATATAGTATTCTACCTATAAAAGGCCTTTAAAGGGTCTTCTGTCTATAAAGCACATATAGGTCTATGGATGACATTATAAAGAGGAGCATATTGAGGTCTCATTCATATACAAAATCGTCTATACGTAGAATAACTTTTATTGGTATTCTGCTTTAAAAGGCAGCGTCCCTTATTGCTAAACGTTGGCATAAACAAATCCCAAATCCTTCAAATTTTTAAATTAGATTCCTAGCTCAAGTCGCCTTCATCCTCTATTGTTCTTGATGGATGTGATAATATGGATGAAATGACAGACTGCCAGTTACACCATTCGTCAGACACATTGTTTATATTCGGTTAGCTATATCAATGTCCCCTAACCCGTGTGAGTACGTCCTCTCAATTTGATCTACCGACGGCGCCATAACTCTGTGGTCAATATCTAAGAACGAATGCTTTAATTCAATTTTGATTTGGAGAAATGAAATATTATGCGGAATTGTGACCGTATAAGGTCTTCTAGCTGCAAGTCAAATGGGCAGTGGACTTATATCCAATGATGACCTTATATTTATAGAAGACCCCGATAGTCCAGAGATTTACGAGGAAAATGTGCTAAACATTTGGCGAGTGAACACTCCTAAAGACCACCGAATAAATAAATTTCATAATTTATATATTCCATATTTTAAAGTATTATACTTTTTATAGAATTTATTTATTTATGTATGTTACTATTGTTTTTATTTTGTTTTATTCACACACATACATACATATTCATTATTTTTATTATATTTTATGTTTTACGTTGTATATAAATTAATAACCTATATAATTATGTATATGAAGGTGGAAAACAAATATAATTAATTGTATATAAAAGTATGCATGTGTGTTGTTGTTTGAGGTTATTTTTGAAATTGTGTGGCTAAGTATGTATATATATTTTTTTCTTCAGAAGACTCGGTATGCGCCTATTGATGTAGTTGTTTTTTTGTTTGTTTATTTTTTGCCTTTTGCCTATTAAGAAGAGAAAATATTCGTGTATAGTTGTGTGAGTGTTTTCTTATTTTTTCTTCCTTTTAGTTAGAAATGATGTTTTTCCTTTCTAAATATTATGTTACACATCTTAACTTAAAATACATGTATATATATATTTGTAGAGTTTACTTCTAAAGTATAAAATATAACGTTTTATTTTGTTATCTGTTTACTTGTAGACGCGTTTTTTGGAAATACAAACAAAAACGAAAGTATAATGCTTCATTGGCTCTATAAGAGTTCCACATTTGGCAAAATAATGGAGAATTTTTTTAATTAAAATTCACAAACTGGACAAAAGTTTTTTGAAATATTTCGTTTCTTTAATGGAGAATGCAAAATAAACACGCCTTTAAACGGATGTGGGAGAGAGTAAATGAGTAGAGAGATGGAAAAAAGAGCGGTACACAGCTTAAATTACAAATTAAATAAACGCTACGTTAAATTAGGCTTAAACTTCGATGAACGTTTGATTGGTTTCTATAACCAATTACGACCACCACGTCATATGTTGTTCTCCTTTTTGCCATCCTCAGTTTTAGCAGGTTCTTCGGTTTCTGTTGTGTCCACTGAAAGAAAACAAAAAAAGTTAATAAATTAAAAGATATTCCCAGTGTGTTTTAGTTAGTTTATTTCCACTTACTTTTCTCTTTGTCATCTTTGGCTTCCGTATTCTCTGTTGCCTTTCCTTCTTTGTCGAGACGTGGCCGTTTTCTTTGACCCTTGTAGGAACGATTATCTCTTCGACCGCCCTCACCTTCATCTTCGGAATCTGAGAATTCATTGTCAGGCACAATACGTTTATCTTTGTCGGCCTGTGTTAATCGTTCATCTTTGTCAACTTTATCTTCATCTTCGGATTCATCGTTGATTGCATCTTCGGGTATCGCTTGAATTTGCACACCGGGTGCATGTGGCAACATACGCAAGTTTTCAAAGAGACTGAAAACGGAGAAGATTAAATTGATATTTTTTAAAATGAAATACAAATTAATAACAACGCATGTCTATCAGCTCCCCGTCATCTTTTACAGGAAAATTTACACAGAAATTTACAATCTTTGAACATCTTCTATTTTTCCCTTGGTTTTCAGTTTGCTTATATCTATAACAGAACAATTGAAGGAACTATTGAATCTCTTCTATTTAGAGAAGAGTCAATGAAGGTCTTCTATGCATAAAAAAGATCTATTTTTTCTACAGACAATCTATTGTAAGGCTGACGTCAGAGTGCCAGCGAGAAGCGATGCGATACTACATGCTATAATAGTTCATGCTACTTCCCTTATTTCCCTTATTTTTTCCCTTATTTTTTCCAAATTATTTTATTTTTATTTAATTAAATTTGGACTTGAGTCCACAAAAATCCCGACAGATTGGTCCATACCATTAAAATTCGATAAGATGCAAAATAACGATGCCAAAAACCGATCAATAACGGTAAATAAAAATAACAAACAAAGAAACTCAAACAGAGTCAAAGCGAGCTCTTGCTATAAACCATTGCACAACACGCTTTATCGCTTGCACTCGCTTTGTCTCGCTTGTAGCGTAGCATCCACCTCTGACAGCTTTTGCGCTATGCCATAAGAAAACACACGCAGAGGTTTATAGCGTCGTCTAGCGGCATATCATAGTATCGCTTCTCGCGCGCACTCTGACGTCAGCCTAAGTCTCCTACCTTCCTACTCTAAAATATTCCAACTACAGAAAACATATTAAACGTATTTTAAATACACAGAATGTATTTAAGATTTCCTATTTATAGAAGTCCTGCTCAATGTTATAATATACAAAGGACCTATTAAAACGTCTAATATATGAAACACCTATTGAAGGTATCTATGAAATACGTACTGAATATTTCCATAGAAGACATATTAAAAATGAGATGTTGAAAGTCTTCTCCTATAAATGACCTTTAAAGATCCTCTAGGTACAAATGATCCATTGAAGGTCTTTAGTCTACAGAAGACCTTGCGAAGGATTTCTAACTACATAGAATCTATTTAAGTTCATCTATCTTTAGAAATAGAGAATACATAATAATTATGGTCTATCTATAAAATACCTATTGAAGGTTTTCTTTCTATATATAATTTAAGAACTCCAATAGCTTTAAGAAAGCTATTCTTCTTCTATTTTTAGAAATCATTTTCACTTTTATCTTGAGTTTTTTAATAGAAAACAAATTTTTACTTACCGATTTCTAATTTTTTCCAAATATTCTGTTGTATTTTGATTTGTCATATTGCTAGGACTAATGTGTAATTTAAAGTCTGGACCAAAGTATTCAAAGTAATCATTATAGGGTAATTCATTAGCAATTTCCACACCCAATGCCACCGATGTTTCATAGGTCCAACAGCGAGATACATTACGAATTGTATAGCCACCACCACCAACCATTAAGAACGGCAGATTATATTTCTTTACGAATTCCACACAACGACCGTGACCTTTAACGGTGAGATTGAAACATCCCAAACGATCACCGGTCAATGAATCAGCACCACATTGTAACACAACAGCAGCCGGTTGGAAAGTTTCCATAACTTTTGATATGATTGGTTCAAATATCGATTCATAGGCTTCATCGTCCATGCCATCACGCAGCGGTATATTAACCGCATAATATTTACCCTTACCGGCACCAATATCACGTAAGTCTCCTGTGCCAGGGAAATATTCACCATATTTATGAAAACTAACCGTCATAACACGATCTGTTGTGTAGAATGCTTCTTCCACACCATCACCATGATGCACATCGATATCAATATAAAGAACACGCTGATGATATTTCAATAACTCCAATATACCCAAAACAATATCGTTGACATAACAAAAACCGGAGGCTTCCGATTTTTTGGCATGATGCAGACCACCACCCCAATTGATGCAAATTTCGGAGGCTTGTTTGTTCAATTTAACGGCAGCAGCAACAGAACCACCCGCAGAAAGTTGACAGAACTCATAGAGACCATCGAAGACGGGACAATCCTCGCCAACATTAAATCGTTGCATTTGTTTGTTATATTCGGTCATATTGTCGGGTCGTATGGAACGTAGGAAGCGAACATATTCATCTGAATGAAATTTGGTCATTTCATCGGCAGTGGCTTTGTGTGGACGCTGCAAAGGCAAGAGACAAAATATTATTTTTGTTATAGCAAAGTATATAGAATATAGAACTTTGCAGATGAGTAGATTGTCAAATGGAAAAAATAAAAGTTAGAATATCAAATTTACAATACATTATGTGATGTGATATGATTCCATGCCTGGGAGTAAAAAATATTATAATTGACGGTCGATTTGTCCATCCTAATGTTACGACGATATTCCCAAAAGCATTTGTCACCAATACCACCAGTGCAACGTATAAAATCGAAGAGATCGCACCGCAATATTGTACACAAAAAATCCCCAGGAAGCAGTCAATTGTAAGGGTGTTGAAGGACAACAATTCGGTTATGACAATGAGGGAATATCAACTGGGAAATTTAAAACAATATTTATATGTCTACAGCTAGATCTACTCTTTTGTAGTCCCTATATAACAGTGTTGTTCAATTTCGGTATAATGACGATAACACCTTTGCAAGAAAACGTTTAATATATCATCATACTAAAAACATATTTTTTCTTATTTTTCACAGCCCCCATATAAAGGTCCCGATCGATTTTATGTATATAATGGTGGAGGACATATAAATTTTCAAGCAATAATTTACCATTTCAAATTCCACTCTAAACATAATTATGTCAAAATCGTTATTCTTAGCCTGCAAGGCTAATCTTCAGACGACATATTAGTAGTCTTGATAATATGGATAATATATCATATTATGTAGCAACTCTATTCCGGAAGCCGATCAATTATAAATAAACAAACCAGTGAAGCAAATGAGTATTGCTGGACGGTCTTCGGTATACTAAACAGAAGGTCTTCAGTACTCTAATCAGAGGAAAATCTCCTTCATGTGTTTTTTATTGGAATTTATACGTACGCATCCGCACAATTTCTAAGCGCGTTGTAGACCTATATATATATATATATATATATATATATATTACTGTACGTCTAACATATATGAATGTATACTTCCTTGCAGTCGATATCAACGTAAAGGTCAATAGTTCTTTCTAGCTGAAATCGGTATACTAAAATATGTACCAAAGCTAAATATTACAGTTATCCTTAGAACAAAACAAATATTTCATAACTCGTATAGTAGTTTTCTAGGAAATACAAATATATTCACAACTGTTTTTAAATAGTAGTGAATCTGTTTTCCTTGTTAAAAATTCCCTAATGAAAACTCGGTTCCCTATGAAAAAATCCATTTAAAAATGTATACTTATAAGTCACTAACTACAAACTGTAATAATTAATACTTACATAAATCTCCATTTTTCTATAGAGCCCGTAGTTGAGCAACAGATTATGGGTCATACGTATACGATGAGGTTTCATGGGATGTCCCTGGCCATAGTAATAGTTACCAATATCACCTAAAATAAAAATAATATTAATAACGTATGTTCGCATTAGTTTCCTAAACAATAAATAAAAATTAGAAAAATAGCAAAAATACATTTATTTTTATGTTCATCTTCAAACAAAAAAACATTTTTAAATCGAGAGTCCTCACAGCGTCATATGTTTTCACAAACAACAAGACACTCTTTCGCATATACGACAACCATACATTCCGAGTATACAAAAAACGCGCACATTCTACAAACAAACCAAAAACAAACATACACACACACAACGTTCGAACGAAGGGAGCATCTACGACGACAATGTACTTTGTATACGTGCATACGCCGGCAGAGTGATGGTCGAAAAGACTATCTCTCTGCCGTCTTTCAATTCACACGTCGTCCGAGGTATGGTCGTTGGCACAAAAGTGTACTGTTGACTATACGGTGTGTTGTGATGTATTGAAAAGCCGATGGTACAGTCGTTTTAAATTATGAATATTTACAAATAATCATCATACGAATTTCATTAACCAAACAAATGAATGGCAAATGTTTTGCCAAGAAAATTCTTGAAAATAAATTAAAACGAATAATTACACTGAAAGTATGAAATGTATTTAAGAAAAATAAAACATTAACTTACTGTCATAATAATAGCAAACTCTTTTTTTACTATGTGCAGACTGCATGATGATGAATTTGTTTTGTTTTCTCTACGTTTGGAGTAAATTGATTTCCACTATTTTTTTTTAGTTTATTTTAGCTATTGTTGATTGTATTCCGAATTGAATGGAAGTATTTAAAACTATGTTTCACAGTTGGCCCAGTCCTTCTTTGTTTGTTGATCTCCAAGTGTGATGATGAGTCCAAAATAAAAGCGCGTCTTTACTGGGCGAATTGTTTTTGGAAATGTCTGTCCAAATCAGTGATTTTCATTGAATAGGGATTTGTAGATCGACTTTCGACTAATCGATTAAATGATTTTTTATCGATTATTTGTTGTGAGTTTCTCGTTCGATTGTTCCCTACATGTGAGCTGTTGATTAATTTGACGTCGTAGCGGACAAATTCAAATTAAAACAAAATACCAAAAATACGGTCATTTTGGTAACAAATGCTGAACCCCATTCGAATGGTTTGTTTTTATAAACGATATATTGAAGTAGACCGCACGTGGAGTTAATTTTGTAGAATATTTTTGTTATGAAATTAGTCAGTAACGTAACGTATAAAGTTATTTTTGTCCTGAGATAAAGGTCAGCGTTTGCATGGTACAATAACAAGAGGAAGGTTAATGGTACCTACTGATTACAATTTTTGCTTTTGTTTGCCCCTGCCTTGAAAAGTCATAAAATATTTACAAATTGAGATGTAATTAATCCTTTGAGCCCCGATTTTTTTCCGCAGTCTTGAAACCGACCTTAGAAGGAAAAATTAAAAACCAATATCAAAAAAAACTTAATGCAAAATCGACAGAATAATAATTTTAAATTATTCTCTATATTCATTTTTACAAGAATCAAAAATAATTCTGATGTCAGAATTCGTACAATTGCAATACGATTCAAATTTAAATAGTTTGGACTGTATACACAAAGTAGTACTGTACACAAATTTACCTTCTTCCCTATATTGAAAAGCTCATTACTTTACCAAAATGTTGAATTTTCATGATTTTTTTATATAATCCATCTGAATACATATCTACTAGCTGCATATTGAATATAAACTCTGAAACATTTTGTTCCCTGTGGGCAACATTGGGCCACAAAGTGTTAAAATTGAACATTACAACATTCGAGAATAAAATCGTTCAATGTGTTGGGAAAATATATTTCTTTTATTATATATGCAACCCCGTATTGTAAAAAAAAAACTCTACAATCCATTCATTTTTCGCGATATCTTCTTTATTTAATAAAAGTGTAAAAATATCTCAAATAAACAAAACAAACCGTGTTTTAATCGAATTTGTTTAAAAGTGGCTTTGTTCCACCAAATCAAAATACATAATAAATTGAATTTAAATTAAATGTTATTCAAATTTAATTGAAATAAGTCCACTTTAAAAAATTCTATGTTATGGATGAAACAAACATTTTATCATATTATCCATTGTACAATTATACAAGATAGGGTGGCTTTTGTCAGAAAAGAGAAAATACACCTCTACCTTTTGGCCAATAATGTCAGAATTAATCAAAACATTTGATATATTTGTAACATTTTACTAAAATAGCCATGGCATATCTACAGAAGGTATTCTCATTTTATTTTTTTTTATTTATTTTATATTTCATATTGCCCAGTCTTTCGACCTTAAGGCTGTAAGCTACATTTCACAATTGAATATAAATTTTATCATATTAAATGTAAAAGAGAGGGATATTGAACTACTAAAAAAATATTATACCGATCAATTAAAAGAAGTTTTGATTATTTGAATTATGGGTTATGATTAAAAAAGTTGATTAATTGGACTATGACTACTCCAGTAGGAATGGGATGGTGGTTAATCCTCACCAAAAGAAAATTATTATATATAAAAATGAGTTGTATTATCTAAATAAATTGTATCACAAATATAAAAAATTAAACATACATACGTTTATTAATAAATTGAATTGAAATTTGTACTACTCCAATCATTTGAGAAGAAATTAAATGTTATAAATATCTACTTTTTTTGATCCTCATTGTTCTTAATCTAGATTATTGAGGCTGCGAACTTCAAAGTATTAAACATTTTGTAAGTATTGCCACTGAATAGTAGATTCTTGCAGTACGGGAACAGAACAATAATTTCAGGCCCTAGGTACGCTTTCAAACCAAATAAGCTTAATATTGGCATTTCGAATTTTTTTGGGGAAACACCGCCACGCAATCATCAACAAAGGCCAGCATTTGTATATATGTAGCTGCGATATAATGGCAAAGCCCGATTTTCGATTTGTTGTAGGTTTTAAACATATTTTCAAACGATGTGGCCGTTGTTTGCATTTGGGATTTATATTAAGTAAAAACCTTTATTTTGTATTTCGGGTTCTCAGATGGTAAATTATCTCGTCACATACAATTTTGAAATCTCGACATATCGAGCCATATTCGCCAAAAAAAAACGTAACCCTCAAATTTGAAATTTTATAGTGGAAGGTTTCTTTTAATAAATTCAAATTTAATAAAGCTCTTATTTGGAAATTTAGAACTATAGTTTTGTTACAAACTAGTTTTGTTTTAAACTATAGTTATAAATTTCTAAATTTAAAATTTAAAAGAAACCTTCTACTGTAAAATTTCAAATTTGAAGGTTACGTTTTTTTTTTGGCGAATATGGCTCGATATGGTCTAAACAAACATGGAGTTTTGACATATTTGATATAAAGGTCTCGCCCCATTTGGTACAATCCGATTTTTATTACTAATGGGATCTAATTTGGTAATGGTTATTTAAATGTTCGGCACGGCAGAACTTATTCGCAAATTGTTTCATTCATAATTCAAATCCTGACAAGATCTAGCTACAGCCTCCATATGTATGTTACATGCGATTTAATATATAAGCTGATTCCGTAAGGGTATGATATATATTGTACTGTTTGGAACAATTGTTTAAAATACCTTAAAATACCATAAAATACTTACAACAAAAATACAACAGGATTTAAAAAATAATCGAACTTGGCCATGATTTCTCTCAATATTCGCTGGCAAATAAATTTATGCTCTCTGATAGTTTGATTAAACTGCTTCATGGTGCAAATATATTTTCCAATGTGACCACACTTCAAATATGTTTTCCCATTTGATTATTTGACACTATTTGCAGCAAACAAAATATGTCAAATATTTGGGTGTAATGTGACCACAAAATCAAGAGTGTGCAAATTTGACATTTTTTTGGGCAAACAAAAAATAGACATTTGAGTCAAATATTTGCGTAGTGTGACCTTAGCTTTACCAATGCTGTAAAACTCATCTTTAAAAAAAAATAGAGTTTCGAGTTTTGGATTAGTTCATGTATTGTTGTTTTTTGATATGATTAAGTGATATACTGTAAATATTAAGCTTTTGGAGTAGGTCATGTGCTAGGTGCTCGTTTATGAAATAAATTGAATTGAATATAATATATTTTTAACATTTCTCTTTCTGGATATACACAGTCAAACGACTTTGGCAAAACCAGCCACAATATGAAAAAAATTGTCCCATGCAATGAACCTCTGTGGCAACGGTTGAATTTTCCCTTAATTAATGCCATGTTCTGACGAGCATCCGAACAACGTAGTTCGCTCTCAGAATCACGTACATGAACTAACCCGTTCATACAACACTATTCATAATTCATGTCATTAGAGTTTTTTATTTCAAACTTTTTGTTTCTTGTTTTACACCAAAAATGTAACATATTGTAATGAATTACATAGGGATCTAAATAGAAAAAATAATTCTCTTTCTCCTGACTATAGTATGAACCCATATCTATGTATTTACTTTTCATTCATGTTTTCCATTTTTTTCTGAAAATGTTGTTGTTTTTAATATATTTTTATATTTTCTGAATTCAAATGTCACATATAAAAATTTGGAGAATTTTTTGGGTTGCCCCACATTTGTTTCTTGTTTTGTACGCTAATTAGAACCAAGGGAATAGAAATGCATATTGCATTATGTAGAAAACAAAATTTACACCCTGCTGCATATATAAAAACTATACAATTTTTTACTTTTCATTCATCATTTTCAATTTTACTGAAAAAGTTTTAAAATTTTATAAATATTTTCATGCTGTCAAAATTAATTTATTTCCGATAAATACTCTCAATTGTTAGAGATGGGACAAATTTCTTGGTTATTCAGAGAGTGATTCAAATTGAATAACGTACAAAAGTCGGGGTTCGCTCAGACTATTTTGTATGGGGAACTAAGTAATTACTTCATAATTAAGGGTCCAACAACAAATGAGAGAGCGAACAACGCTCGTCTGTACATGTCATAAATAAACTAATTCAACTTTTATTTGTTGCGTTGTTGATCCAATAGCCATTTCTTCATTCTTATTTTGAGCCATTTTATTCCGCCTTCATTTGTGGTTCCCATTTCTTTGCGTACATGACAAGCAATCTGGCATCATGTAAATAGCCGGCGAATTAAAATACGACTAATCGATTAATCGACATGCGATCTATGGAGCCCTATCATAAACAGAAAACAATAACAAAGAAGAAAACAACATATTTCACCGATTAAACAACACTGTTTTTTTTTAAATAGTACGAATTTTCTAACAAAAAAAATGAATACAATTTAAAGCAAAGTGAAGAATATCTCCAAAACATTAATAAATAAATGTACTACACGTTCAGAATATAATAACATTTCTAATTTATATTATTCTAAGCCACCATTGCAACAGTTGTATTTCATGGTACTTACGGGCGAAGTACGGCCCAATACCCAGCGATGTTTTTTGATGTAGTGGTGTAAAAAATTTTACAGCAACATTTCGTTCAGTCTTGGTTGGTGCGTTCGTCGTGTGTGAAGATTTTTCAGCTCAGTGTGTTTTTCCGTAACGTTTGAAAGAATAAATAAATAACAAAACAACAAATTGAAAATAAAAATCAAAAGTTTTTTTGTATTAATACAAAGTGGCTTATTAAGCCATCTTTACCCAGTCATACACCTGGGTTTTGTTGTACAATCTTAAAATATATAAAAAAGAAGAAGTAAGTTTGGGTGTGCTGGAGGAATAAAAG